AATGTTAGCATTTGCTTTTCATATTCAGATTCACAGTACCACTAGGAATTGATATTTTTATGATACAAGGTAGGGGTCAAGTTTCCTTTATCTTCTAAAGCAGCGGTTTTCAACCTGTGGGTCGCGACCCCTTTGGCGGTCAAACGACCCTTTCACAGGGGTCGCCTAAGACCATCCTGCATATCAGATATTTACATTACGATTCATAACAGTAGCAACATTACAGTTATGAAGTAGCAACAAAAATTTTATGGTTGGGGGTCACCACAACATGAGGAACTGTATTTAAAGGGCCAGAAGGTTGAGAACCACTGGGCTAAGGGTATTCAATGGTGCCTGAAGGTTTGTTGAAACCACCACCCTCCTCCAAGCTCGGCAGTGGCACTGGTGAATATACACCAAGAGTCCGCGCAGAGGGTCTGTCTCTGGACTGTTTCTTGGGCCCGTTTCTCTGCCCTCGGCCAGGACAACGCTCTGTACTCATCTTGCTTTGACCAGTTCTGATCCCCGTCTTGTTCTTTCAGTGTCTCAGCTGTTCTCGGCTCTTCGCATTTCCTTACACATTTTAGATTTTAAAACTTATTTTCTAAATCTTTGTTGCTGGAATGTAGAAAGTCCACGAATCTTTGTATATGTACCCTGTATCCAGGAACCTTGTTATTCACTTATTAACTCTAACATTTCACATCCAGACTTTTCTGCATTAGCTACGCAAACAAGCCCATTGTCTGTCTGAGTGCTTTGGCAAGCATTTCCCTCCCGCCTCTTTTTTCCTGGAGTATTTCATTGGCCTGGTCACCGTTCCACTATAAGGGTCGAGCATAGGTGAATTGTGACTGACCTCGCCCTGTTCCTAATGTCAGAGGAGCATGTCAACATTTCTTCATCTCGCCTGATACTTGCTGTAGTTCTTAGAGATACTCCATCAGAATCAGGAACTTGCCTCCTAGCCCTAATGTGTTCATTCCAAAATTAACAGCACAAGTTAGACGTTGAATTTTCTTATACTTTTGTCTGAATTGATCATGATTTTCTGTTAATGCTGTGATGTTTGTTTGCTTTAAAAAAAGCTGTACCCATTTCGCATCTCTAAGATACAGTTTGTCAATAATGTGCGTAGGCTACCTGGGTCCATGTTCATGCGGGGGGTGGGCCTTTGCTGCTCCTTCCTTCTTGGGTGCTGCTATCGGAGTCACGTGGGCCTCACAAAGTGAGTTGTGAGGTGTTCCCTTTTTTTTTTTTTTTAAATATTTTTATTGGTTTTAGAGAGGAAGAGAGAGGGGGAGAGAGAGAGAAACATCCATCATGAGAGAGAATCATGGATTGGCTGCCTCCTGCACGCCCCCCACTGAGGATTGAGCCTGCAACACGGGCATGTGCCCTTGACCGGAAATCGAACCTGTGACCTCCCGGTTCCTAGGTCGATGCTCAACCACTGAGCCACGCCAGCCGGGCAGGTGTTCCCTCTTTATCTGGGAGAATGTGTGTGTGACTGGCAGTACTTCCTAAAATGTGGGTAGGAAGTTTTAAAGATTAAACACTGAAATATAATCACATTTATATTGCCTTTGAGAGCAAAGCTGGAGAAGACAAGGGTCACATGTCCCTTGTGTAATCTGCACACACAGGCCGAAAGCCCAGGGCAGGGCCAGGGCCAGGACCAGCCTCCTCTGCCTTCGCTGGGGGCAGAACATGGTGAGTGTGTGTGTGGGGAGGGTGGGGGAGGGGGGGACACATGATGGCTTGACTCCAATTGCTGGGATGTTTGGAGGCAAAGCATGCTCTTTCCTTTTTTAAATATATTTTTATTGATTTCAGAGAGAAGGGAGAGGGAGAGATGGAAACATCAATGAGAGAGAATCATTGATCGGCTGCCTCCTGCACGGCCCCTACTGGGGGTCGAGCCTGCAACCCAGGCATGTGTCCCGACTGGGAATCCAACTGTGACCTTATGGTTCATAGGTCGACACTCAGCCACTGAGCCACACTGGCCAGGTTGCTCTTTTCTAAATCAGACAATTCTGAGAAAAGTCCTTGGCCCTGACCTTCTCTAACCCCCGGTGTGCTGCCTAAACCACAGAGCTGTACCTGCTGTCCACTGGAGCATTCACAACGAGAAACATGATAGAATGCCTGGTGAGGAAGGAATGGTCGCGTCCATTGCTTGGATGTGAGAGAAGGGGTTTTAGCTGTTTTCCCACACACCGGCCATGCAGCTGGGCCGATCAGAACCTTGGACAGCACCGTGGGGGCTTTCTTCTCCAAAGGACTGGTTTTGTGTTAAATCTTAAATGTTAAGGTTCGTCCTCAACTTCCCTGCATTTTAAGTCTCAAGAGAATTCCTTCAGGTTCATGTGCAGAGCTTACCAAGGAGAGAAGACATGTTTTTAAAGTCCTCCCCCTGCATGCAAGGACTGGCATTTTTGTTCCAGCATCTTTAATTCATTTGAGGATAGAAATTAAAAGGTAGTAAAAAAAAATTTAAATGACATTTAAGTCACAGGTGTTGTTATAAGAGCAGTATGTCAATGCCTTCAAGATAATGAATGCTAAATATAGACACACAAAATTTAAATTTTGATTTAAAATGTAGTAATTGAGCCTGACTGCATGGCTCAGTGGCTGAGCGTCGTCGACCAGGAGATCATAGTTCGATTCCCGGTCAGGGCACAGGCCCAGGTTGTGGGCTCGATCCCTAGTGTGAGGCATGCAGGAGGCAGTCCATCAATGATTCTCTCTCATCATTGATGTTTCTATCTCTCTCTCCCTTTTCCTTCCTCTCTGAAACCAATACAAATATATTAAAAAAGTAAAAAATTTAAAAAATAAAATTTACTAATTGGTAGCCCAAATGACCGCAATCATTTCTCTATCTCCCATTTTGCAAACAGACATCTTTGAGTAATCTGCAAAGCCCTGTGGTTAGACTCAGAAGTTCCTGAACAGAAGATGCGTCTCACTATTAGCATCCCTCAGAAACCCAAACCCGTGAGATGTATTCATGTGGATCTACACACACACATTTATACACACACGACGAACTCAGGAGTATGTTACTAAAATCGTAAGAATGAATATTTTTGAAACACCAGCATCCACTGTCCAGTGATTTTTTTAAAAATCTGCAAGTATGTGGACTCAACGCCAGGCAGAAGCCTTGCCTGCAGCGTCAACCCTGAACTGCCTCGCCGGTTTCCCTTGAAAGCAGTAACATGGCCACCCAGCTCGCTGTGACCACTCTATCTCCATAGCGGCTGCCTGCCCTTTTCCCTCTCTCTCTCCTCCTAAGTGACGGATGGAGGCGGCAATTCAATCCTCGGCAGCGTGTGAAATAAGGCGCGCCGGGTCCCAGGCGGAGGACAGGCAGCGGCTGTGGGAATTAATGCGCCCGGAGCATCCGCAGCCACAATGCGGCCGCCAGCGGGTTCCCTGCGAGCCCCCACCTCCCATTAGAGCACACAGACCCCTCACCCCGCCCCCGTCTTCCCACGGGCTCCCTTCACTTGCTTGTGTTTGTTATTCACGGCTCCACCGGCACGTCTGTGCGGCTGCACTGGTGTGCACACAGCCAGTGAGGCACAGAAGTGTCTACTGCAGCCTTGTTAAAGGGAAAGGACCCCTGCTGCGTCCCTTCTGGCCCCACTTCCATTCAGAGAACTGGAGTTTAACTCTGTGTGTCCCGGACCAGAATGCCGGCTCTGCCTTTTGAATTTTGCAATGGCTTCTCCCGTGGTGGAATGCCACAAACAAGAGAAAAAAACGTTGCTTGCAGATTGCCCATCCTAGAAGCTGACATGCTTCAGAGTGACACAGAGCACAGGGACAACCTTTATTTCATGCTCAGGCTGTTTTACAAAGCGACCAGGGGTGGCACAGAGGACTCGGGAGCGCGGGACTCTGGGACAGCGTGTCTGGACGCGCCTGCTGGGCTCTGCTGCTCTGATCTGGAAGGTCCAACAGGATGTGCAAAAGCTCCAGGGGTCCTCGCTGAGCAACAGGCTGGAGCACCAGGATGAGCTTCCCGCACGGCCACGACCTCCCAGCCGAGGCCCCGAGGCTACGGGTCGATGGGCACAGACTGGTGCTCACTTACCCAGTTCTACTCTACGATGAACATAGGGCAGTGATGGCGAACCTTCTGAGCTCGGCGTGTCAGCATTTTGAAAAACCCTAACTCTGGTGCCGTGTCACATATAGAAATTTTTTGATATTTGCAACCATAGTAAAACAAAGACTTATATTTTTGATATTTATTTTATATATTTAAATGCCATTTAACAAAGAAAAATCAACCAAAAAAAATGAGTTCAAAAAAATGAGTTCGCGTGTCACCATCACTGACAAAGAGGAAGGTACAGACAGACGGAAAGACAGATCCAGGTCAAATCGCCTCCCGCTCCCCAAAGCTACTTGCGCAATCCCAGCGAAGCCACGGCCACCCCGGGCGCGGCCTTTGGAGACTGCGGTTCACTGAGGGCAGCTGTCCCTTGAACGCAGATCCTGCCCAGAGGCACCACAGGGCCAATGAGGCATCAGCGCTCACACATGGGTCTGAGGAGCCTGAGTAGGACGTTCAGAGCAAGAAGAGTTAATGGCCCCGTTTCTCCGACTCCCCACGGAATTCCAAAGGGCAGCTCGGTGCCCCAGCGCAGAGGGAGAGGGAGCGGGCGCTGTTCTTCAGCATCTCCTGAATTAATGAACTGGAAACGCGTCTTGTCAGTGTTTGGAGAGGCGGGAGGGTGAAAGGAGAGGCGAGAATGAATCACAGTGAGAGCCGCGTCAGCTGCCTGCGGCGCTCAGGAAGCCCAACAGGCGAGGAAACAAAAGGGACGGGCTGCCTCGCATCTGAAGGGACAAATGGGACCCGCAGACCCGCGTCTCCGCCAAGGCGGCGGCCTCACGAGGAGCCCGTGCCGCCAGGGAGCGCACCAGGCCCGAGATGTCCGTGGCCCCGGGGATGGCTGCAGACGCTAGGGTTTAAAGCACAGAAACAACAGAACACGCATGTACTCTCACGTTTACGCGGAAACACAGGAACACTAGCATCTAAGCATGACGAGCTCCTGAATCGGTGCCGAGCCTTCAAACACTTGCACCTTCACGCGCTGCCAAGATGAAACGTCCGTGAAACACACTCCAAAACTCCAGGCTCCTGGGGAAGGGTCCGTCACTGAGAAGAAAGAAAGAGAACTGCATCTAATCATCCATTTCCAAGAGTCAGGGGGAGAGCCTCCGAGAGGCGCTGGTCGGTGATCAGAAAGGAGCGAGAGCCCGACAGCTCCCGCAGACACGCTGGTCCCTCCGCCCGGGTCAGCAGGAGCCGTCTCTGCAGTCTCCTCTGGCCAGAAACACAGACACACAGGGTGACATGCTCTTCCAAGTTCTCCCCGGAATGAGTCTGACAGTTTAACTCTTACGAAAACCGCAGCCTAAAGCCTGAGGAACTGGCGGCAATTGAGTGTAAGGCCGCCTTTCCACTCTGGAAGCACAGCGCTCCCACCCGTTCCCAGGCCGGAACCCTGCCATCCGAGGGGCCGGAGGGGGGGACCTCCCTGCAGCATACTCACCGGCGGGGGGGTGCTGGTGGCTTTCAGAACCAGCTTGTCACCCCTCTTCTCCACCTCGAATCCCATCTTCCTCAGCAGGGACCGCAGACACGCTGGTCCCTCCGCCCGGGTCAGCAGGAGCCGTCTCTGCAGTCTCCTCTGGCCAGAAACACAGACACACAGGGTGACATGCTCTTCCGAGTTCTCCCCGGAATGAGTCTGACATTTTAACTCTTACGAAAACGGCAGCCTAAAGCCTGAGGAACTGGCAGCAATTGAGTGTAAGGTCGCCTTTCCACTCTGGAGGCACAGCGCTCCCACCCGTTCCCAGGCGGGAACCCTGCCATCCGAGGGGCCGGAGGGGGGGCCCTCCCTGCAGCATACTCACCGGCGGGGGGGTGCTGGTGGCTTTCAGAACCAGCTTGTCACCCCTCTTCTCCACCTCGAATCCCATCTTCCTCAGCAGGGACGCGTCCGCCAGCCCCTGCTCCTCCATCTTGGCGATCAGATCCTGGTTCTGGCTGTTGTCCTCGGTGAGGTTGCGGATGGCGTACACCACCCACTGCGTCAGGACTGGGATGGAGTGAAGGAATCTGGCGACACGCCTTCTTGAGGATGTGCTACAACTATGCATCCAGAGCGGAAAGACACTTACAACCACATGGCACACACGTATGCACACGGGTACCCAGTGTGCGATGGCAGAGGTGCTGATGGATGAACGCAGAGCAAAGGTGCAGTTTAAGAACACCGGTGTGTGCACTCCCGCACACTCACATACATGCACGCACGCATGCACAGGTAACTGTTAGAGTCACTGGGGAAAGAATCAGGGCGTTACCGAACCAGACAAGAAACCACCTTTCCTGGGGAAAGCCTGCGGAGGAACAAGAATGGTTTCCTAGGCGCGCGTGGGATTCCCTCACTCCCGTTGACGGGTGAAGCTAGGAACCTCAGGGGTGTGCTTTCGGTTTGAATGCTCGTGCCCTCGGGAAAGCGCCCCCCTCCCTGCCTCGCCGCCCCCTAACTTTACATGATGTGAGAAGTCCTCACAGCAGACAGGCTCTCGGCGCCTGTGAGCCTGGAGAGATGCTGCTGGCGGGACATGTCCATGTCGGGTCCAGGGACACACAGGACCTGCCAAGAACCGAGGGCCCGGCCCCCGTCGGTCCAGAGGGAACAAAGCCCAGGAGAGGGGTAAACACTTTCCCCGCGAAGAGCGTCTCCTGCCCCCGCCTGGGGCAGCAGCAGGGAAACAGGCCTGTCCAGTGGCAGAGGTTCCCAGGCCGGCGTCTCTGAGGCCATGACTGGGGCACGTGTGTCCCACAAGGTGCCAGGCCTGTCCTGGTTGCAGCCTCTTTGCCCTGATGCAGGAGCCAGGGACGGCTCCACGCACAGCCTGTGGCCCCGACCACACAGGAGCCAGGGACGGCTCCACGCACAGCCTGTGGCCCCGACAACACAGGAGCCAGGGACGGCTCCACGCACAGCCTGTGGCCCTGACCACGCACAGCCTGTGGTTCCCGCTCGAAGGATTTGGGGAAGAAAGTGGTTCAAAAGCCTCACGGGAAATAGTAAAAGACGTGCCCGTCCCTGAGGTCAGACAAAGGAGAGGTAGAAAACATGAGAAGTTTTATGTTCAGGACATGTTTTCTGGGGGCTGAAAGGTCGCTCGTCTTGGTTCCTGACACACCCGAGCTGCCTCCCACCGAGCGGCCTCCTGGCTCCGCGCTCCTAATCGCGGCTCCTGCAGGAGGGGCCTGGCCGCACACCTGGGACCCGCAGACACAGGCTGCGGGACGGCCATCCGGGCGCGGGGCACCGAAACCATCGAGTGTGAGGGCGGCCCTTTCCCGGTGCCAGGTCCCGAGTGCTGGGCCGAGGCTGCTGCTCTCATTACTCATCCCCGGGGGAACGTTCTCGCACCACTGACCTGTCACCCTGGCACAGCGCCCCGGTCCTTGATAAGCTACATGTTCCTCCTGGAGCCAGAAGACATTCAAATGCATGAAACCTAAATGTGAATTTCTCCCTCTCCCACAATCACCAGAAGAAGACTAAGAGTCCCGGGGAAAGCTCTTCCAGCCGGTCCGTGCCCTGAACCTGCCTTACCGCGCACGCAGGACCAGCCAGCACAGCCCAGCTCCTCGCAGGGAGTGAGAGGCAGCGGCCACGGGACCCGACGGGAGGAGCAAACGTGAGAAAGGGGGGATTTAGGCCGGAAAACGCACGTGAGACTGGAGTTCCCATGCTAACCTCCCCTCTCAATGCTAGAAGCAGGAGGCTGCTTCCCGGACCTTCCTGGCCACTCACTGAGATACCGAAAGTGGGAAACCCCATGTTCCCATCCCGCGCTGAGAGCCGGGACAACTGCAGGGCTGGGGCTGGGGCTGGGGCTGGGGCTGGAACAGGACGGAGGCCGGCTGGCCTGCCCAGTGCACACGCGGTGTCGCTGGAGGAGAGAACCATCACCCGAGCTGCTGGTGGTCAGGCTTGCGGTCCCAGGCAGCAGGCCCTGCCCAGCACGGCCCTCATTCATCTCGCTGGGCGCCCTTCAGCCCTGAGGCTCCAGCAATGTCAGTCCCACACGCGAGCCCCGACCTGGGACATGCCTCCCCCTCTCCTGCCCTTTCATTTCTCA